AAAATTACCATATATTTCACTGCGTCGGCCATCTGATTCGTTCCCGCGCCAGCGGTTGTCTAGGTCGACCTATGCCAATTTATTTCGCGCGCACCGTCTGATTTCGATATTATTGTAGTGTGCGTCGATGGCCGTGGCGCTGCTATTTTGTGCTATTAGCATCGTCGACTACGCCCGCAATTTATTATCGTTGGAAGTATTTACTTTCGAACAATATATATCAATTAGTATAAAGTTCGTATGTAGCTGAGCTTTCTTACCAGTCGGAATGGGGAAGTGTGGCAAATATTTTTATAATAAAAATATGGTAATTGACTGTAAGTAAAGATTAAAAAAATATTAGTTACAGTTGGTTATTTTTTTCGTACTATTTATTTATTTATACCACTATGCTACCGGTAATAGATATAATCGATTGTTAATCAACATAGGTTAACAATCGATCTGTGAAACAATTAAAATATTTATGTTTACTTATTTCAGCACTAAGGTTAATAAATAATGGAAAATATATAAAATAGATTATAATAAATTGATTAGATAACATAAAAATGACACATCGAAAATTTTCCATCTACTGAACTCCATCCTAAGAAAACTTTATTCTTAGGATGTTCGTTTAGTCGCTATACTCACAGTACCATAATGCGAGCGATTGAATAGAGATATGAAACAAAGTATAGCTTGTGTAGGTACTCGGAGCGTAAAATACCTAAATTGCGTAACGCCGAAATGTAAGAGGGCTCTTAATTCACTCTTACTATTATTAGTGTAAATAAAAAACAGAATTAAGCGATATTTTGATGAAATCTATTACATTAAGTTTTACCAACTTTAATGTCACATTTTTTTAAATTTAATTAAGTATAGTAACGTGACTTTATACCCTGCTTGATCCTTGAATTCAAAAATAGTATATTTTAATATTTTCACGGATCAAGAAATAGAGATAGTCTTGAGAACTAGCACATGCTGTGATGATGTTAAGACCTTCCTGTATTAAATGTTCCATAACGTGATACTTATATTATTTGTTTACGGTATAAGGCCTGTTTGGTTGCTATGGTATCACAAAAATTCTACCTTATTTTTTTAATGTAAAACCTTTTCATTTTAACTATACCAAAGTTTCATTACTAAATGAGCTTAGGTAAAAACTTTTCATTAATTTTCAATAGGAGTATAAGAACGAGTACGTGGTGTGTTAAATTAATATAACTTATCAGGTTAATGTAATATGCATTAGTAAATTTAAAATAAATGTATACATATTTACTCACATAAATGGAGGTCCTTAAAGAACAACATGTCTGATATCGAGGAAGAAGAAATTCAGGGTAGAACTATAAAAATTACGCTCCTTGGTGAACCTTCTACTGGAAAAGTAAGTCAACCAATACATGCTTTTTGCACAATTTTCAATTTTTTTATTAAGAAATGTATTAAATTATTAAAAACGACGTTTTATTTCTTGTTTTAGAGCAGTCTATGTCATCGATATTTAGGAACGAATGAAACCAATGTACCGAACGGTAGTACTCAGGGGGCTGAAGTGTTGGCAGGACAGTGTCTAGGGCTTCGCCCTCCGGTTCCTATACACTTGTGTGACGTATCAGGCAACACACTTTCTACTTCTATGCTTAGAAACTACTTGTATGCGTCTGATGTTAGCATTTTATCTTTTTCCTTTTAATTAACTTGTTTGGTATTACATTAATTTATTTTTTGTGGCCATTCATTCATCAGCCTATCAAAAGCTTCCTGCTAAACATGGTTCTCACCCATAGATTGCCTCATAAGACTTTATTTGCCATAGTTTTCTAGCGGAATATGCTGCTGCCCATCTCCTCTTTCATATCTCTGTCACCTTTTATGATACAACTAAAATTTAATTAATAATTCTATGGCACGCAAGGGATTTAAACCGCATAAAAGGTAATCATGGTAATTTTTATGTTACAATATTTATTGGGTTATTTTTATGCGATTAATGAATGTTGTATAAGTTTGTGTTTGTTCTAGATAGTTTTATTTGTATACGACTTATCAAATTTACAAAGTTTCGAAAATTTGAATACCTGGATACTGTCTGTAAAAGAAATTTTCGAACAAGAACAAAAGAAACCTCTGATGGCATTGTTTGGTAATAAATCAGACTTGGAACATCAGAGGGCTGTTCGTCTCTCGTGCGTGGAAAAGTTTGCTTCGAAATATTTACTGGAGAATTTCAAAGGATCAGCTAGAACTGGAGAAATGGTATATTCTCTTTAGTTTCTGTCGATTTAACGTAATTGTTTTTTTTTTCTTTTCTTTTGTTACCATTTTTGTATAGTTGCCGTAAATACATATCATTGTTATTAAAGTTTACTAAATATACAGCAATTATTGTAACTTGAAATACGGTGTAAGAATATTTATATTTCTATTTTTTCTTTTTGTGTATTAAGAGCTGGCTAAGGAAAATGTCAAGAAGATTTTGTGGTCTTTTTTTTTAACTTAACCTTAAACTTTTAAATACCAAGATCGGCGATGCGGTGTTTTGGTACCACGATTTATATGCCAGTGCCATCTGTCAAATATTGTGAATAAGCCAAACCCTTTGAATTTGTAAAAGGCCCATATTCAACAATAGCTGATGATAAATGTGAGACTGAGTGTGATAATAAATTTCAGTTCATTTTTATGTTTTAGGTTAACCACACATTCACGAGCTTAATTGCTCGTGTATTAGGTCCCCAAGTTCAACGCTTGCAAGCAGCAAGCTTGAAAGCTGATACAAATGTGTCCGAGCAGATAAACGATCACTCTTCGCAGTTGGATGGAATACCGACGTCACCTCTCATTATGAATCGAAAGACTCTGAGAAGCCTACAACGAAAAGCATCTTCGTCCGTTTGTTGTATTCAATAATAATAAATTTTATAATAACCTTAGGCTTCTTATTGTTTCCCGTTCTGTGACTTAAAGTTACCTCTGTTGTGGTTTTGTCGACCTTTCTATTTTTATATTATAGAAAGCACGTAATGACTCTTGTTTTAACATTTTTGTGTGTACCGTATAACTGCATATGCGGGCGCGAGTTTTTTCTATTTTTTTTTAAACGTTACCCCTACACTAGGGTTTTATCCTGTATCGCGGGGCCAGTTGACAAACATAAATTGCACAAGGACAAACATCCAGACCCGGAACAATTATTTGAAGGCCATACAAATACTCCGTTCCGTGTGGATTCGAACCCGCGGTCACCGTCGCAGCCACTCATTGCTAAGCCACTGTGCCACGGAGTCGTTTGTTTTTACAATGGAAAAAATAAAACAACAGATTGCATTGATTGTAAAATATATTTTTGATTGATATATTTGATTGCGATAATAAAATCAATTGGATATATGGCATCATCTCACAAGAAAAGTGTAGGCGTATTTATTTCATTTATTATAGCCCGTCATACTATGCGAGTACATTATTGAAAATAAGCCTCCCCCACAGATTTTTAAATATAGTAGAACCATGTTGCAGGGTGGAACACATTCTCACAGAATACTAGAGTAAAATAAGCAACATAATACTGCGGTGTTTTCATATTATGGTGAGTGTAGAGAACCGGAGACCCTTTTTACTGGAAACGAAGCATTCCATTCCATTGAATACTAAACTTCAGGGGTGACAACGCATCTGCATTTTGGTAATCGAGGTTAGATGTAGGTGTCTATGGACCACATATTCCATTAAACATAAGGTAGACTGTATGCTCGTTTGTTACCCTTATTCTATAAAAAAAGATTGCGTCATAGGGGCATTATCGTAGATGCATATTTATATTATATATTGCATATTTATATTTACTCATATTGCATATTTATATTTACTCATATTGCATATTTATATTTACTCATATTGCATATTTGGCATAGATATCACGCTTGGCAGACGTGTTGGCAATCGCAGTTTTTTGTTGTAATTGAATTGTCAGAAAGACGTTGCTGCTCATCTCCTGTTCCAGTACTTCTCTGTCGCCTCTTCGACACCCCTGGGATCGTGTAGGGTAGTGTAGTGTGTAAGTGTAGTCTCTTAAGCCGCAACTACGACACGGCAATAAATTAACAGACCTAAAGCTGCTAGAACTAATCATGGGGAAAAGTTTGTAACATTAACATTCATCGTTAACGTTACATACATCATTTTTGTGGTAGAGCCATGCTGCAGTTATATTAGTAGTATAGTTGTAGCACGAATGGGTTGGCTCGACCGGGGAAGGACCACGCTCTCACAGAATACCAGCGTCAAATAGTGGCTTAATGCTGCTGTGTTTCGTATGGTGAGTGTAGAGAACCGGAGACCCTTTTTACTGGAAACGAGGCATTTCACCTAAGTCCTCATGGATGACAACGCATCTACATTTTGATTCGTAATCGGGGATAGATGTAGATGTCTATGGGCCACAGCAACCACTTACCATCAGGTGGACTGTGTGCTCGTTTGTCATCCCATTCTATAAAAAAAAAAACATTCATCGTCCGAGATCTAATGGTTTAATCGCTAATCCTTACGTTATGGATACTGCCGGCGCGGTGTTATCTTTCACCTCGGGAGAGAGACAGTATTAGTTAAAAGTTGCCTGGGTGAAATAACTTACAATTGCCCGTTACATTGTATTATTTTTTATTACTTCCGCACCTGTCTTGCGTATAAAGAAATAATTTATTGATAATTGCTAAATTATTAATAATACTAGACTAGAAATGATTTGCTAATACAGACGATTAAAATCTGTGTTTTAATATAGAATATCATAATGAGGCTTTTGTTGTTAGGTTTTTATATTATCTAAGTGAAGTGAATTAAAGTTGTTTTATATCAACAATACCTAATGTGGTTTTATTTTTAGTTGAGCAGTAGAGAATGCTTAAAGGCATTAAATTCGCCTTTTGTATGCTTTTGTAAAAGGGAATGCAATAAACAATGAATAAATAATATAAATAAATCATTTATTGTTTCAGTAATAGAGAAGTACACGGACAACGTTAGGTTTTGTATAATTTGCAACTACCTGGGTAAGATCATCCCGGCATTGCAGTCTCGATGCACGCGCTTTCGTTTCGCGCCTCTGCAACAGAATCAGATTGTGCCACGCTTACAGGATATCGTTGCTAAGGAAAAGTAAGTTGAATAATTCGTGTACCAAGGTTAGGTATAGAATGCTTTTATAGCCTCGAAGGGTTGATTAGCCAAAGAAATAACCAGATATACCTCTTATTTTGAAAATGTTTAAAAAATAATATTTGACTGAGGGTATTCTGTTTTTACGTAGAAATTGTGAGATTTCTTTTTATTTCAATCTGAAGTCTAATCATTTATGTATTTATGTATATGTATTTAGTTATCATCACAATATTTAAAATATTTTGTTCTTTAAATGTACTGTCACAGAATACCAGTGTAAAATAGTAGCTTAATGCTGCTGTGTTTTTTATGGTGATTTTAGAGAACCGGGGACCCTTTTTACTGGAAACGAGGCATTCCATCTTAGTCCTCACGGGTGACAACGCATCTGCATTTTGATTTGTAATCGAGAATAGATGTAGATGTCTATGGGCCGCAGCAACCACTTACCATTAGTTGGACTGTGTACTTGTTTGTCACCCTATCCTATAAAAAATATGTGGTGAAATACATACGGGCTATGTTATGTATATGCATACATAACATAGCCCGTATGCATTTCACCGCTAGATAAAGTTTGTATTCCATAGTTGGGGAAATTCGTGGTAATCGCCACGCTTTCTGAGTGAAATTGGCGATCCCAGTACTAAAGTTTTCAGTTTAACGTAAGCTGAGCACTATATTAAAGTCAAAATACGTGTATGCCCATATTTAAATTAGCATAGGTGATTATTTTTCTGTTATGCTTCTTGAAGAAGGAATTACCATATAGAGGCCTTCGCTATCTACAGAGACAGCCAGTTGTTGCTGCCTCAGGTTCCATTAACCAATCCGAAATTTCCCTTTTTTAAGCTCATCTAAATCGAAGGGAAGATCCTTGTGTTTAGTTTTGCGTTAAACTCCGTCATCAACACCATGTAATGAGTTTTAGAACAATGTATAGCTCTGGAGATATCCCCATACATCGCCTCCACCTCCTCATCGGGGCGTGTCAATGTTGCTGCTTATACCTTTTGGTAATTCTGAGTACGCAATCTTCGTTGATATACTCCCAATCTTCTCAACATGTTATCGGATTGGAGGATTACCGTGTCCCCCTGTCTCTTCAAACTTCAGTTAATCCTATAACACCCCAGTATGACTAGTCTTCTTGTAATCATAATTTTGTGTTCAATGTGGGTGCGTTATACGTTGCCAGATCCAATCGCAGTTGTTGGAAACCAAAGTTGAACCAGAGATTCTTCGCACCTTGCTCCGCTATTTACATGACTGCCACTAGGGCCAAGAACAGCAGGACTGCTTGGGATTTGGTGACGTTTATTATTTGTAGCTTTCATAGAGGGGATATATGTCATAGTTGCCACTTGTCATGCTCTTCTTTTGGGACAGTTAAATACTCTTCAGAATTATGCACATTTTTACATGAGACATTAGAGGTCTTTATATTGGAAATAAGATTTAATATGCATTTATGCTATACGCATCTCGTTTGTGATTGTGATATAGTGGCTTATGTTATGTAAGTGGCAATTTTTAATAGATTAATGCCAAAATACTCAAACGCTACTCGATTTCAAGATGCCGTTAAGTCTCGTGTGACGTGCGTACGATACTTAAAGACATCTTAAAATTGAGTAATGTTTGAGTATTTAGTCATGAGAGTTACTGTTCTGTTAATTTATCGAGTAATCCATTATTTTCAGTGTAAAAATAACTGAAGATGGGATTAAGGCCCTTCTTACATTATCAGGCGGCGACATGCGAAAAGTCCTTAATACGTTGCAGAGCACGTGGCTGGCGTATCGTGAAGTGACGGAGGACAACGTGTACACGTGTGTGGGACATCCACTTCGCTCCGATATCGACAATATACTGAACTGGTTATTAAATGAAAACGATTTTGCTGCCTGCTTCAAACGTATCCTTTTCATTATTTTTTGAATCTTAATTCATATTTTATAATTTTAACGCATTAGAGGTAAGTGCGTGTGGTTAAAGAATGGGATTGAAAATGGAATCCCTATATTCACCTCATGCTCGCACATTGTCGCTATCTATATCTATACTCACAACCGCCAGTAAAGAAATATTAATAAGATAAAAAAAATCCACGCCAAGCCAGAGCGGGTCGCTAGTTAAAAATGTTATTTTATAATTAATGTACCTACGTGCGTATAGTTTTCTAATATTTTATCATTAATAGAAAATTTCCAATTAACCGAATAAAGTTATATCGTTATTAGCGGGTTTTCGCTTTTGGTACTGTGCATGTTGAAGGTAAAAGCTCGATGAGACGCCATTTCTAATCCCATTCTTTATCTGTACGGACTGTACTAGCAGTTTTATAGTTGAAGTTATTTTGTAATGAAAATTTTGTTTATTATTTAAACGAACGTTTTACGAACGAGCTGGGCATTTGGGCAACTGGACATTCAATATTGCATATTGTATTACCTTCTAAATTTAGAAGTAGCAATATTATGGCGCTACAAAGCATTCCATCTCACTCCTAGGCGGTGACAACTCAATTGATTTTAAATCTAGGATAGATGAAATGACCTACAACAACATTTTACAGTATCTACTTACTATCAAATGGAATGTTACTCCCGTCTGTCATTATTTGTTTAAAAAACTACAGTTTTATGAAGATATTTCACTGCATTTGTGGATTTGTGCATATTGTGAATAATAAGAAAACGATTACTGTAAACCAAACTTTTTATGTTGTATGTTGTTTGTTTATGTTGCTGATATTAATTTTCTTACAAGATTAATTCACAGATATACAAGATTTAAAAATTCTAAAAGGTTTGGCCCTTGGGGACATTTTAACAGAGATTCATACAAAAATTCAGAGAGGTAAATGCCATATTATTTTGATGTTATTAATTATTATTGTTATGGATTTTTCACAAGCGTCAAATAAGCTAGTCCTGCTTTTTTGTATTTTAAAGTTGTTTTTCTATCAACTTACATTTTTCAAAATCAACATCATTGCCTTTTTTTCTGTCATAGATAATATTCACTCATTTTTCAATAATTACAACCAATCTATTATCCAATATTTTATACGTGGTAGAACACTGCTGCAGTTATGTTAGTAGTATAGTTGTAGCACGAATGGGTCGGCTCGATCGGGGAAGGACCACGCTCTCACAGTATACCAGCGTGAAATAGTAGCTTAATGCTGCTGTGTTTCGTATGATGAGTTTTGAGAACCGGAGACCCTTTTTACTGGAAACGAGGCATTCCATCTTAGTCCTCACGGGTGACAACGCATCTGCATTTTGATTTGTAATCGAGGATAGATGTAGATGTCTATGGGCCGCAGCAACCACTTACCATTAGTTGGACTGTGTACTTGTTTGTCACCCTATCCTATAAAAATATGTGGTGAAATACATACGGGCTATGTTATGTATATGCATACATAACATTTTGATTTGTAATCGAGGATAGATGAAGATGTCGATGGGCCGCAGAAACCACTTACCATTAAGTGGACTGTGTGTTCGTTTGTCACTATCCTATATATAAAAAAGTCCAGAGCTGAACATATGCCTCTCCCATACAATGAGACACCCTCATAGAAGGAGGGGGGGGGGATTTTCCATAGTAGATACGTTGGCTGGGGAGTTAGCAACCGCATTTTTTTATTATATTGAGTTTTTATCAGGAAGATGCTAATGTCCATCTCCCCGTTATACTTTCCTCTGTCGCCTCTTACGATACCCACGGAATTCAAGTAACTGTTGTGGAACTTGGCACGCACTCAGATTTAAACTGCGACCGAGAAGCGGACAACCCCGATCGTTGTTTATACCCGACTTGGAGCATTTTTCATATTTATGTTTTTGTGGGATAGTACATTTTTATTGTGTATTTTTATCAGTATAGGCGTTGAATATCTAGATTCCGTTCGCTTGAAATTCGCAAATCTCGCCTCACTTATTTAAAATACTCTAACACCAATTGCGACTGTAATTTTTTTTAAAACATTACATGCACAAAATTTACAGTGGTCAGTAGCCCCCAAACTAGGATATAATACCTGTATTTCAGGGGCTAGTTTCCTTCCCTATTCTTAGTTCTGTTACTATAATTTGTTTATCTATGTATTATATTTATAATTCATTTGTTTATTAATTTAATTCGTTCATTACCTTTTATATTACTTTCACTTGGTTACTTTCTACCGTTTCTATAAAACCTGGACCCGCTAGGTGGAGCTGTCATAGATAGACCACTTGCTGATAACAATTTTGATAGCAAGGGTCACAGTTGTACTTCATGTTCGAGTCAAGCTAACATCTCTTAGATTTTTAATAAACAACAAATATCTAAGTTGAAATCGTAAACTATTTATCAAATACAATACTTACATTTTTTAAATATATTTACGAATGGATAACACATCAAGCCATGAGCACTTTCTCGATTGCTTCAGATGGATCGAGGGTAATAATTATTTGCTTTACTAGTAGCCATCCTATGGTGTATAAAACGTTTCAGTTCAAGTGGCCCCAGTGGCTTGTGTACATAGCATTTATAAATAAAGGTATGGTTTTAATAGTTATACTATAATTTCAGTGAAATTCCCGCCAGAGGTTTTAGTGTCGCTGCTTATTAAAATGGCCGACTCAGAAGCAAGACTTGCTAGTGGTTGCAGCGAACGAATTGAACTGGCAGCACTCATTGCCTCATTCCAACTTGCCAGGGAACAGATTGATATTAGCTCCCTATCGACGTCTTGATTTTTTTATTTTAAGTATTTTCTTGATTATTTATACTTAAAATTAAATAAATGTAATCAAAATACTTTTTTTTTGCTCACTAAAATTTGAGTTATAAGGATGAAACCCTTTTTTGATTTTATTTCATAAATTTATTTTTTAGTGTACACTAAATACAGAATGGAAGCAGACCATGTAGGAAGTATACTGTGCTATAATGTCCTCCTGACCGAATTTCGATCACGGCGGCATGCCTCAACGGAGACTAGCCATCGGCGCAGGACAGGATTATAGTGCCCAAGTGTACAAGCTGTATGCGCAAGCACAGGAGAATTTCTTGACGGAAAATTCAATAATTGATTTTTTGGCCCGACCCGGGATTCGAATCTCATGATCAGCAGCGCACTAGTAAAACCACTAGATCAACGAGGCAGTTGTCTATATCACATAAATGATTAACAGGCAGTCTTATCACTTCGAAAATTACTTCTTTCAAAGAACCTTTGCGCAGAGAATTTATGATTTTAAAACGAAAAATAGAGTGGGTGTACGAATGAAAAAGAACTTTGTACCGGCTTATTTTTAATATTTCTTGAAATAAGAAATAGGATGTAATAAGCGAGCGAACAAACTGGGTGTGGAGTTGATATTTTTTTAAAGGTGACCCTATTTAGTTTTGAAAAATTGATGGATGAACGGAAAGTTACGGTGATTACGATTGTTGAGTTTTAGTATAGTCGACCACGTTATCCTTCTATCAATTTTTACTTATCTCAGATTCTCATCTCCAGCCTTAGCGTGGTTCTCACTGTGAGTTTGCACTGACGCGATTTTCACAAAAAAACATATTTTAAACACTCTTTTCTGTCCATGGGTGCGTTTGACAGAAAAAAGCGCTAGCAGGCGCTTGTAAGCAAAATGGCGAAACTAAACATGTTAGCGACGACAAAATGAATTCGAACATTTAATCTTAATTATTTCTTATCAGTGATTTAAAACTAAGTGATAGTATTTAATCTTAATTGTTTCCTATGCGTAAAATAAAGCTAAGTGTAAAGACTGATTAGTGCTGAAAACAGGAAAGTAAATTAAACACTTCTATTCTTATCTTAAAGTAACTTATATGAATCTATTTAATATTATTTAGGTCTGATTAGAACATTAGACGCAAGTATAAGCTTATTTCTAGTAAGATTTCTTTTATCATAACTTTAAGAGCTATTAACATATAGGTGATTAATGTAATTCTTTTTACTTTAAAGTAATTCAAAAGAAACATTAATATGTCAATTAGTCACTATATAATGTCATTTCATTATGAGAAAGATTTAAATTTTATGTAAAAATATTGTATAGATTCTTAAGCATTAATCCTGAAAAAAGTGTTGTACATTCCTACCTCTTGGCGGCGCTACTTGTATGTTCGGCAAAAAAATACTATCCTACTCCGGAGCTAAACCGTGAAGCGACCGCGAAGCTATTTTTATTTTTTATAAGTGTAAAATAAAGGTTTATTGAATAATTTAGGTTTAGAATAATAGAAATAAGTTGTATCTATCGCTAGGAATAAATATAAATATTGTAAGATATGTTTTACCACGTTTATTAAGGAAATTGTAAATCTCTCTTAGAAAGGGTTATTCTGTGCTCTGATTGGTCAATAGATTCACTAATGCCGTGTGCGATTTTTTCTTAATTACGATTGGTTACAGCCGCTTATAAAAAAGGGGCGTTTTTCGTGGTAAAACATTCCAAATCCGGCAATGTAATAATAAGGAATCAAGAAATAAAATAAGAAGAAACTCTCAAGAAGTGTTATTTATTGCTCATCTAACTGCTACTGTATGCTCTCCAGTTAACATCCCGCCAGCAAACCCGCTCTATTTTATCGACGCTCCCTTATACGAGCAATTACAATTGGTCCTTCGAGAAGCCGGATCGGGTTTAAGGAAAACTAGGAAGATGCCTTCAAATACAAGATCAAAATCAGTGCAGTCGAAGACTACGAGTGAAAGCAACGCCACTACGGGTACCAGTACGACGGATTGGAGCATGAATACGCCGAGTGATTCTACAAACACGACGGCTACCAACACGTCGACTTCAGATCGATCGACGCTTACAAGAGCATCGCCCAGCAGCGTACACAGACAACCCGTACTCCTTAACAAGAACATTGCCGGAAAAGAATCAACACCGGGGGACGTAACCCATACCACCCCCCGACACGCACCGTCGAAGCGTCAGTTCCTCACCAAGAAGAAAGTCATCCAACGCCGCAGAATCAAGAAAGAAGTGTCGCAATGAAGACTCTGCAGCAGCCTCACCCTAAGAAGACGACCCGCGATCCAGACACGCTTTCCGTTCGCTCGTCGCATAGGAAGAGAGCAGAAGCGCAAGCAAAGATGACAATGGCATTAAGGGAACTAGAATTGGCAGAAGCGCGGTCAAAAGTTGCTCAAGCGGAATTAGAACTTCTCACCGCGGAATCAGAAGAGGAAGATGGTGCCGGAGAAGAGCTGTTCGAACGAACTCGAGAAGTCGAACGCTGGTTCATCCAGACCGGAGACATGCCTAATAAGAACCACAAACCAATAGAGGCAGAAGAAAAGAAAAGTGACATCCAGGAACTAGCTTCAGTCATACTAAAGCTATCAGAAAAATCACGTGACACCGTTTCACCGAAGCACCTAGAACTCCCTCACTTCAACGGGGCCTGCGAAGAATGGTTAGCCTTCAAAAGATCATACGAGGATACGGCTGCTTCTTTCAGTAGCAACCAAAACCTAGCGCGCCTTAGAATAGCGATCCAAGGAAAAGCTAGAGAAGCCGTCCAAAGCCTGCTGTTCACCGCCGAAGACCCACGCGAAGTGATTAAGGGACTGGAAGCAAGATTCGGAAGACCTGGAGCACTAGCATTAGCAGAACTAGAGAAAATGAAGAACCTCCCAAGAGTCGGCGAAAACCCGAGCGACATATGCATATTTGCAAGCAAAGTAAAGAACGCAGTCGAGACAATCAAAGCCCTGAAGAAACCACAGTATCTCAGTTCACCTGAAACGCTGAGAGTTATAGTAGACAAGATGCCGACGTCAATGAAGTTCCGTTGGTTCGCCTACCACAGAAGCAGAAGAGATGAGGAAATTCAGGAGCTATTACTTATCGAAGCGTTCCTAGAAACAGAAGCAGACATGTGTGGAGACTTCGCCCCGCCCGAAGCGTCCTCAGAACAAAGAAGAGGAATAAGAAAACCCGTTCATTTGGTTCAAGAAGCGTCAAAAGAGAAATATAAGAAGTCGTGTCCGTTCTGTGGGGAAGAACACTTCGCATTAGAATGTAAAAGGTTCAAAGAAGCCAATCTGAATGAAAAATGGAATATGACCAAGAAAGCAAAGATATGCTTCAAGTGCCTTCGATTCAGACACTCAAGAATCAACTGTAAAGCACCAGTCTGCAAGTTGTGTAAAAGATGGCATCATACCATCTTACATTCTGACAAACCACCGGCGTCGATAGAAAAAGAAGCAAAAGACACCAATAGCACCTCAGAAGAAAAGGTCGCCTCAATTCATAACGCCAAAGGAGAAGAAAAGGCCTACCTAAAGATGATCCCCGTGAACCTCTATGGCCCAAAAGGACAAGTTCGCGTATTGGCACTACTAGACGAAGGGTCAACGGTCACACTCTTAGACGCATCAATCGCTGAGAAAATCGGAGTCGAAGGAAAGAAAGAAAAACTCACGATCGAAACCGTCGGCGGAAAGGTATTAAGAAAAGATAGTTCACAGAAGATCGAGTTCAAAATAAAAGGGGCTCATAGAAAAGAAAAAAGAACTATCGTAGCAAGAACCATCGATGACCTGAAGCTGTCCGAACAATGCATAAACAAGGACACCGTGAGAAACTGTGAGCACCTGAAGGCAATTGAAAATCAACTCCTCTACGTCTCCGAGAGGCCCAAGCTACTGATAGGCCAAGACAATTGGGGACTGATAGTGACAAGAAAACTGAAGAAGGGCAAACCATCAGATCCTGTAGCTTCCCTCACGAACTTAGGGTGGGTGCTACACGGATGTGAAACAGGAACAACCGCCACAGTACACTTCACTCATTATGGCAGAGCGACCACTGGCAAGGAAGAAATAGAAGACCTCGTCCGAGAACACTTCCAATTAGAGTCTCTAGGGATCCAAAATCGTTCACCATCTAACGACAGCGACAGAAGAGCATTAGAAACCCTCGAGAAAACTACCAAGAAACTGCCAAGCGGTCAATATGAAACGGGACTCCTGTGGAAAAAAGAAGATGAACGCCTGCCCAACAATTACAATCAAGCTGTTCGACGCCTGGTCAGCATCGAGAAAAAATTGGATCGTGATCAAGAAGCAAGAAAGCACTACGAGGAGCAAATCCTGAGTCTAATCGAAAAAGGATACGCAGAGAAGGCTCCAGAAACCTCTAACGAAGGAAGGACATTCTACCTACCCCACTTCGCTGTTGTACACCCAGTCAAGAAGAAGCTAAGAATAGTGTTCGACGCAGCTGCCAAGTACGAAGGAAAGAGCCTCAACGACGCCTTGCTCTCGGGCCCAGACTTGCTACAATCACTATTCGGAGTACTGCTGCGTTTCAGAGAGGGACCAGTAGCCGTCATGGCAGATATACAAGACATGTTTCTCCGAGTAAAAGTCAGAGAAGACGACCGAGACAGTCTCAGGTTCCTGTGGCGCGGAAACCGAAGAACCGGCAAGCCTGAAGAGTATAGAATGTCTTCAATCATCTTCGGAGCAGCGTCATCACCTGCAACAGCAATATACGTAATGAACAAGAACGCAGAGGAATTTAAGAACACTCATCCTGAAGCAGTGAAAGCAATTAAGAGAAATCACTACATGGACGACTATCTGCAGAGCTTCGCATCTACAACCGAAGCAAAGAAGATATCCAAAGAAGTGAAAGACATTCACGCAAGAGCAAATTTTCATCTGAAGGGATGGGCCAGCAACAACTCGGGGGGTAAT